ATCAGAAGATACGAGTATACACACCCTCTAATATGGCATAGTATAAAGAGACTTAAGATAACCGCTTGACGTTTCTATTTCCACCCATGAATTACACTCAACATCTTAAAATAGATTCTTCTCTTTTGCTTTAATTGAAAATTAAATTAGAAAAAGCGAGAAAAGTATATTGACTTAACTTATGTAGACTTGTATGTTCTCCTTATTTTATTTATTTTTTATTTATTTAATTCAAAAACTCTTGTGGATTACAGAAAATCCAACACGCACCAAGGTTAAATTTTACATGCTAAAATATTTAAAAAATTGTATCCAAATATAACAACAAAAATTAATGGTTATTACTTATAATTTAATAATTAAAATTATTAATTTATAAGCAATAACCATAAAGTAAACAATTATACAATATTAGTGATATAAAATCTCTAAGCCTTTAGCAGCTAGTGTTGAGAAATTATATAATAAACAAGAAAATGTTAATAATTGTACAATGTTTAAAAAAGAAAAAGGTCGCAATCATACAATGTCTGGCTATGAAATAATTTGTCATATCAATTCATATTGTAATGTGAATAAAAGCTAATCAGAGTAGTAAAGTAAGTAAAGTAAAGTTACAGCCTATATACGTCCCACTGCTGTGCACAGGCCTCCCCTCATTTCTGAGAGAGTTTTAGGGCAAGGAAGTGTCCGCCGCACTGTCCCATTGCGTGTTGGCAAACTTTCACATGTCTCTGAAATATATTTTTTTTTCTTATTTCTCAGACATGCAGGTTTCCTCACGATGTTTTTCTACACCGTTGAGCACGTGGTAAGTCAGCACTTAAAATTGCAATTAATAATTTCATTGGCGCCGGCGGGGATCGAACCCGGTTTGCTCGCATATTGTGAAATATACAGTGAGCGCTAACCATCTGAGCCACCACGGCTCGATTAGAGTATATGTCCATAATTAAAATTACATCTTAAATACAAAGTAATAAATAGTATGTGGCCGTAGAAGGAAAAGGGGAGATCTCCCGCCGGGCAAGGTGTTATGCCCGGGGAGCGGCCAACGCTCCGTGTGATAGTTCGGAGATGTTCTATATATACTGTTTATGATTCGGAATGTTGATAGCGCGATTTAGGCTTCTGTTTATTTTCGCTTGTGGCGCGACGACAGCTCCGCTACAAGTACATAGTCAAGCAAATTAAATCGTCGAATTATTAATTGTCCTATTATCGATAATTTTATAAAAAAGAGTCATACTGTCTGCAAATATGTCAATTTCATCGTGTTGAGTGAGTATGTCCCCTATTAGTATCAATGCTCGATTTGTTGGTGCAAAGGCAGCAAGTTTGGTACATGTAACTGGTCTGTCTAGGAGACGCGGCGTACGGCGCGGACCCACCGTTCCTCCATTATCTATCTGCAGACACTACACTGACTAGCATAGTGCTTACTACTATACATATTTATTACCATTTATTACCGCTGCTGAAAGCGGGTAGAAAATCGGTACTTGAAGCCCTTCAGAGGCTTTTTAATTCCGTCCTCCATGGTGGACAACTCAGGAGGCGTGGAGCACAAGTGCGATGGTCTTGTTATTCAAGACAGGTGACAACGCCCTCTAGAAGAACTACAGACCGATATTCCTTCTGAGCCGCGTCTACATGTTGTTTTCGAGAGTCATTACGAATCGTCTCGCACGCAGACTCGACGACTTCCAGCCTCCCGAACAAGCCGGGTTCCGAAAAGGCTTTAGTACCATAGACCACATACATACTCTTCGGCAAAAAAACATTGTACAGAAGTCCGAAGAGTACAATCTGCCACCGCCTGGCGTATGTGGACTATGAGAAAGCCTTTGATTCCGTCGAAATTTGGGCGGTGCTACAGTCTCTTCAGCGTTGCTAAGTTGATTGTCGGTATATGTTGTTGTACGGAAGTGTTGAAGTGTTTGTACAGTAGGGCTACGATGGCTATCCGAGTACAGAACCAGAGTAGAAAACCTATCCAACTGCAGAGAGGTTTAAGATAGGGTGACGTTATTTCCCCGAAACTCTTCACCTCTGCATTGGAAGACGTTTTCAAGCTATTGGACTGGAAAGGATACGGTATTTAAATCAATGGCGTGTACATCACTCACCTTAGATTTGCCGACGATATAGTCCTTATGGCAGAATCGCTGGAGGACTTAAGCACTATGCTCAATGACCTCAATAGTGTCTCCCAATGGATAAGTCTTAAAATGAACATAGAAAAAACAAAGATCATGTTTAATGTCCATGTCACACCTATGCCGGTAGTTGTTGGGAGCACTATGCTCGAAGTTGTTGACGAGTACGTTTACCTGGGACAAATAGTCCGACTAGGTAAGTCCAACTTCGAAGGGGTCAATCGACGGATTCAACTCGGCTGGGCAACGTTCGGGAAATTACGACACATCTTCTCGTCAGGTATACCTCAATCTCTGAAAACTAAAGTGTACAACCAGTCCGTGTTGCCAGTGATGACTTACGGATCAGAGACGTGGTCCTTCACTGCTGGCCGTATGAGGAAGCTCAAAGTCGCTCAGCGAGCTATGGAGAGGGCTATGCTCGGAGTTTATCTGCGTGATAGACTCAGAAATGAGGATATCCGCAGTAAAACCAGAGTGACCGATATAGCCCAACGGATTAGTAAGCTGAAGTGGCAATGGGCCAGCCATGTAGCTCGAAGAACCGATAACCGATGGGGAAGAAAAGTTCTCGAGTGGCAGCCTCGTACCGGTAGGCGTAGTGTAGGGGCATGGAGTGACGACCTGGTAAGACATGCAGGAAGTCGATGGATGCAGGAGGCTCAGGACCGTGCTTTGTGGCATTGCTTGGGAGAGGCCTATGTTTAGCAGTGGACTTGTGAAGGGCTGTAATGATGATGATGATGATGATGACCTAATAGTGATGTTGATTCTTTCCGTGAAAGATCGATTTCTAAATCGATTTAAAACGAAATCAAATAAATCGATTAAAAAAAATCGAGGTCTAAAAGATCGATTTCGTACAAAATACAGATTACAATTAGATCATTCGGAGCCGTGGTAGCTCAGATGATTAGCGCTCGCTGTAAATTTCACAATACGCGAGCAAACCGGGTTCGATCCCCACCGGCACCAATGTAATTGTTAGTTGAAATTTTAAGTGCTGATTTACCACGTGCTCGGCGGTGAAGGAAAAACATCGTGAGGAAACCTGCATGTCTGAGAAAAAAAAAGAAAAAAAAATTCGAAGACATGTGAAGTTCGCCAACACGCATCGGGGCGGCGTGGCGGACACTTCCTTGCCCTAATACCCTCTCAGAAATGAGAGGAGGCCTGTGCCCAGCAGTGGGACGTATATAGGCTGTAACTTTACTTTAAAAAAATAACAGAATAAACCTTTATGAGTTTTGGTACATTCAACTGATTGTAAATAATTTTATAGTACTGGGCACCAACAAACCGATTCTCTCCACAACCGACTGGCAGTCCAACTTGTGGTGAATTATAAAAAGATAATACCTAATAGTTGACATCACCCTCCTAAACATTAGGGTTATTAAATCAAACAATACCCAAAACAAATAGGGAAGGATACAAATAAGCGTAGTAACCGTGACCCTCCTTATAAAGCCAACGAGCAAATTTACGTTGTATTCTCTCTAACCTGAGAGTATACTTATTCTCATAAGGGTTCCAGGCCGCAGTTGCATATTCTAGTTTACTCCACATATACGCATTATACAAAGTTTTAGCCACCCTTATATCATCAAAGTCAGCAGCAGTTCTCATCACAAAACCCAAAGGCTTACTAGCTGACTTACTGATGTCATATGATTGTGAAAATCTAATTTTGTATCTAATAATAAGGCTCAATTATGTCATATACTCAATTATGTCATATACATAGGCGCGTCAAATAAGCTTTTTTTTTTTATAGGATAGGGTGACAAACGAGCACACAGTCCACGTGATGGTAAGTGGTTGCTGCGGCCCATAGACATCTACATCTATCCTCGATTACGATTCAAAATGCAGATGCGTTTTCACCCATGAGGACTAAGATGGAATGCCTCGTTTCCAGTAAAAAGGGTCTCCGGTTCTCTACACTCACCATACGAAATACAGCAGCATTAAGCTACTATTTCACGCTGGTATTCTGTGAGAACGTGGTCCTTCCCCGGTCGAGCCGACCCATGCGTGCTACAACTATACTACTAATATAACTGCAGCATGGCTCTACCACGTATAAAATATAAATATAATTAATGATAGTATTCGGTTTTAATACAATATAAATAACCTTGCATTTAATCTCATTAAGAGGAAGATTGTTCACCTTACTCCATTCCGATAACCCATCTATGTACTGTTGAAGAGCCTGTGCATCACTAGCACTGCCAATTCCCAAGCTTAATTTTAGATCATCTGCAAATAACTGGCACTTCGCAGATTTAACTTTGGTAGGCAAGTCATTTATAAAAATTAAGAACAGCGTAGAGCCAAGAGAACTACCATGACTTACATCAGATATAGTAAAATAACTAGCGGATTCGTAACCACTTATTCTAACGACTCTTATGCATACGTATGTATGTAATTACTCTAAGATGATTTGCTATATATGTCACGATTGGCAGGCAGATTGAAAATCGCAATACGAAAAGTCTCGCACCTTTGCAAACTGCTACTATACTTCAAGATACTGGCCAAAATGAACACTTAAAGGATAAAGGTCAAGGCAGATCGTCAAACACCTCAGTCGCCCCGTAACCATGGGTGTTGTAGAGCGCTCGAAACATCGAGGGTTAAAAAGATAAAATTAAACGCGATAAAATCCGTAAAATTAATTTTATTTAATAATAGTGATCATCGCCGCCATCGTGAATATTTTCTTAGCTTTTAACAGTTACAAAGTATTTATTTTGTACATTTGTTTATATTGTTGGAGATTTACATTTTTTATTTGTGTATTGCATTAGAATCATGCAAGAATATTTTTTATCACAGCTTCTTTTTGTTCGTCACCATGGTATCTTGAAATAATGTCTTTATCACTCGGTTAAAGGGAATTTCAACCATTAAAAATAGCGGTATTGCTGCCAGGTACGATAAAGTTAAGATCCCCAGATGGTTTATGATCTAGAAAAAAGATATATAGTGTTACACACAAAATTATTATTATTATTAAAAATGGTACAATTATTAAAAATAGCATATTTTAAAAATAGTAAAATTATGATTTTTTCATAATAATATTATCCTTCCATCCTTATTAGCATATCAATCTGGTGAAAAACGACCTTCAAAAAAGCAACAACAAAAAAGTATCATCTTATTCACATGTGCTGTAATCCGGTGCAGCGCAAATCTATCACTCCTGTAGATGGTGTGATGCGATTAAAATATAGAAAGCGCACTTAATCTTACCACGTAAAAGAAAGAAACGTGACCCAATTGTGTTCTGGCTCCGAGTAGAATATGAACTATATTCAAGTGCAACAGATAGGCGCAGTAGGACAACTTGCTCAGCACTACCCAGCAGTCACATTCAAGCACACGACGCTGCTTATCTAAAAATGTGAATTATTTAAAAAAAAAAAGGATTTATCAATTCCTTTTATGCAATTTGCAGCAAATTCACAGAGGAAGATCAGAATCTAATATAAGCCAATGGTGACAAAAAACTTTTTGTCAACATTTTGTCCCTTTTATCTTTTATATTCAAAATATGTGGCATTACATTATTTTAACTGATTGTAATTCATAAATATGTAGCGCCTACTATTTTATTACGCATGCAAACATTCGTAAACGTGTTTTGAATTCGGAAACAGTAAGTGGTGTTCAGTCAGTTTAGCGCTCGTAATTGGTTACACATTTAGGTATCTACGAGTATAAGTCATTTTAACTCGGTAAAGACAAGAGCGTATTTTTGCCCGCCCTTTGCCTATCGTAAGCCCTTACACAGCTACAATAGACAGGTTCACTCGGCCGGCCTCGCCTGACACAATCTCTTGACCGTGACGTTTACGTAGCAGTGTTTTATTTTAAAATGTTTGTAGGTAGTATTACTTGTCACTTTGTTAGTAATGACGCTACGCAAATATTAGAACCGCGATTACTATCAAATGTTACGTTGTAAAGATTATATGAAAATGAGTCTTTAGTGAGTTTGCAAAGGAAAGAAATTAACTCACGTGTACCCACATACAAAAATTGTAGTGTAGAACAATTTTTGCAGGTAACCAAATGTTGTTAGGCTTTGGACAGTTCACCACTCCGTCACACTGAAGTGCTCGAAGTGGTCATTCTGTAATAAAACCGGCTGTCGAAAACGCAGTGATCGAATTTTTCGAGTAAAACCCCCGCGCTAGCACCAATAATGCAACTCGTGTTCAGAGTTAGCCATAAATTGTAAAAACTATTGCATTCTTCTGGATATCACCCATTTCATTACCAACGTGTGCAAGCTCTGAATAATAACATTGGTCCACCTCGAAAAACTTTTGTGAATGATCATTGTTTTTGTAAACGATTGCATATGTAACTTGTAAATAGTTAATCGTTTTAAAGTGTTGATAGTTGTAAATAATTGATTCCATTTTTTTAAATATGCCATAATAAAGACAATCACCGGTTACGTCGTTGAACTGTAAAAAGTACAATTTAATTTATTGTGACTGTCCCAGGCCCGTTTAAAGTATGAAGGGAAAATTGGAATCATAATTCGCGTCGCGTAGTTATCAACTTAGTAGCGAGCGCGCCATTAAGGAAGTAAATGCTAAGTAAAGGCTTCGTGCATTACTCGTATACACACAAGCGCGCGCATGCCCGTATGCGTTAGTTGTTGCCCATAAATAATACTCGATTTTGGATAGTTTCAAATTTTTTTCTCTAGTACAGTGTTATAACCTAAGATATCAATGTTTGGATTTATTCACTATTTATGCTTAGCCATATGAAACAAACTTTTAATTTTTAGCGACTTAACTTCGTTAATTTCAATCTATGAATGATTTTCATGATCATATCAATTATTTTAAAATAATTGGGAAATTATTGGTTTCACCCCGAGTTCCGGATTATACGCGCCGCGGGAGTTTTTTTTACGTTTTCCATTCTTTAATGGATTATCATAACGAATTAAAAATGAAGCAGTATAATTGTGGTTATGTGAGCGTGAACTAATACGATTGCGTCGTGAACAATAATTATTATTATAAAAAAAACAGCAAGGTAACCTATAAAAGGAACGCGAAATAGTTTCTATAGTGGATGAAATTATCCTATCTTTTAACAATTAGAATGGGAATAACTACGCTCCTAATGAAAGATTAAACTCACCCGGCTTATGCCAGTGTTGATCAGCGAGTGGAACATTTACCAAGTGCTGCACCACAGACGTGTCAACATATTCCATTGGCAACCTATCCATTATGCAGTCAACCGCTAAAGCGGTTATTTTATAATTAAGATAATTGTTTTTCGAACTAATTTCTAAATTTATATAACCCTTAATTGGTCGTGAGGATAACCTAATACCTTTTACGATGGATTTAGAAAGTGGTACTATATCGTAATTTAATTGTTTACAACAAGCGGTTGTTATTATGTTTGATCTGCCTTTCGTTATCTGTAAGCGAACATACTGTTACACGGTTGCGAGCATTATTACGAACATGAACTTGTACTGTCGACAGAAGCACTATCATACGCGCGCACTATTACAATTTATGCTAGGGCGAATTGCGGAGGCAAAAATCATAGAAGTTGAAATATTTGAAATATTGTTTTGGGCGCTAATCATTCGAATTAATTTTATTATCATTAGACAAATTATCGAAACGAAGTAGCGAGTAATAATTTTTATTACAAGTTTTTAATTTATTAACTGATTTACATTTAATTACTTTATGTAAAAAACTTAAACAATTTATGCAACCTTTTTCTCTTTAATAAATTCAAATTTCTTTAAAGCGAGCAAAGATTCTACAGTAATGCAAATGTGAGCGTTCGTTTTTGTTACACTTAATACGAATGGAATCATTATTTTTTACGTTAGTATTAAGAGTAAAAAAAGTGTATTGGAGAAAATTTTGCGATTTAGTTTGTAAATGGGAATTTTTAAAAATTTGCGACCGAATATTCGTATTAGAGTGCTTATTAAATGAACTATTAAATGCGGGTTCCGCATTCATATACATTTTATTCTAACTACTTACTCTTTTGTCGTTACGGAATTCCATTTCAATAGCGGGTACAATATTTGGAATAAAATTTTTAAAGCAATATATAATAAAATATAACCCACGAGGTCCATAAGTTTTTAATGGGTTAACAACCAACACACAATTATTCAAAAATTACTGAAAGTTGCCGCTGAAGCGAAACCGTTTAATTTAAAGTTAATCAGTTGATCAATGTAAGCTGAAGTTAAAATACGCGTATTTTCAAATCGATCGACTAAATCGTTACATATAATTAACAATTCTTAGGACTTGGTGTAAAGTCTGCAAAAATACTGCGTGCATTACCTGTTATTTTTTCTAACAAATAAGATAATTTATCATCAGTAGAAAAGCAAGTATTATAATGCAATTTCGACTTAAATGCAAATGTCACCGTCAAACGAAGCGATTTCGATTGGTGGCAACCTAGGCTGTGTGGGTGTTGTACTTAGATACGGTTGGCTAATCATTTTTATTACATAGTGAAATTATACTTAAGATGTATGAATACATATCTTCAAAATCCGATGGTAAAGAATTGTCCACTTTTGCGTTGATAATAACTAATGTAATAAGCAAAGCGCTGCAATTACTTAAAACAGTGTTGAATTGAGTGAGAATTTCGTCTAAAGTTTGAAGAAAGTGAGAAATGTTTCTTTATCATCCTTTTTGCTTAATGGACATTGTGCCTTGCGATGTATTTTTTCCATGTGACTATACATTATGTAACAAGAAACCCCTTGGTCGTTTCTGGGATGTGTGTAAGTGTACACAACGACATGGCAATTAATATAAAGATTTTTTTGGTCTCCTTGATGCATAAGCATTACAATAGTAGAGTTGTGGGTTGAAGTATATATATATATATATATATAATCTAAAATTGACCTCGCTGCGGGTTGCTCATTCGACGCATTCTTGTGGTTCTGGTTGATGGAGGTAAGCGGATGGTGATGTCTGCTGGGATGTATGGGGGACCTTGGGATGTGGTAAGCCTGACGATAGTCGTATTGATGCTTGTTGCGTTCTGCAGTATAGCGTCTCTGCGATGGTTGTTTGGTGGGACGCTATTCTCAATGGCTCTTTCTGCGTCTTGGTTTGACTCACACTTAAGTAGCTTTGCCCAAGTCGGGTCCCTTCATTACGGGGCTGCAAACTGTCTGATCTCCATGATGTTTTATATAACAACATAATAATATATCTCTGTAACTTTTCCACTTTTGAATGATTAAAGGCAACTTGTTGGTGGGTGAGACAAACATGATCGAAAATGCATTTACTCAACGTCGGTTACACAAACCCTTTCTGATGGCGTATTATTACTCTTATCTTATAACTGCCTTTTTGCTATATCTGCCGTTGTATTGGTTGGTGGAGCATATGTGTCGACCTCATGCGGGCGGTAGCTGGAGGGAGGATCTGAAGAGACTCTCAAGGCTTCGGCCGAAAGCCGCACAACGTGGCACCCCATTCCCTTGAGGTGAGCGGTAGACACATGACACGCTCTGCGGCTAGTAGCTGTGCTGATCATGCAATTGGTGGTGATGCCATACACGTACATCACGTCTGCAGGAGCGGCGGTCTGGCAGCTGGTTGTGCTAACGGAGGGTTTACGGCCAGTGTGCCTATCTGCCTAAACCATGTGACGTACATTCACTGTGGCTAGATTTGTTCGTATTCTGTTTGGCGTTTACACGCATTAAGATGCGCGACTTCGTTCGATGTTTATGCTTACGCACTACCAAGGGGCCTAACCCTCTTTTACTGGTTCGCAAGTTATTTTGCTGTGGACTACGGTTCAGTTCCCAATTTAGCATTCCCTTCGGGGGGAGTGCATCAAAATGGTTAGCGCTCACCGCACACGGCGTGGTAGAGCGAAACCCTTGAATCGGGTATTTTGTAGTTCCAAGCGGGAAGGGATAATTAATAATAAATTAATATTGTAAACCTGATACAAGTGTAATAGGGACGTTTAATGTTATTGTTGATATTTTGTTATTTCAGACATTTGATTCATAAATATTATTATCTCATTATTTTATGTTTGTAAGATTTGCAGGCTAATAATAATGGCTGATTAAGCGGATGTTTAATTAATATGACCATCTTCAGTGTACCTTAACCAAACGCAAATAAATATTTCATTTCATTTCATTATGTTTATAACCTTTCTCGAGCCCTGTCTTCGTGAACGGGGTTTACTTAGCTTATAAGGCCCTACCCACATCTTTCAATTAGAATCAGAGAAAAGAACTGAGTTACTAAACAAACACAACGTAAATATGGGTCCGAACTAAGACGATCACGCCAAGAATACCTTCTAAAGGTTGTGGACAGACGAGAGGATATTTTATATTCTATATATATATATATATATATATATATATATATATATATATATATATATATATATATATATATATATATATATATATATATATAATATAATTATAACAAAATGTGAAATTAATTAATAAAATATATTTATTAATAATTCACATTTAAAAAAAAAAATATATATATATATATATATATATATATATATATATATATATATATATATATATATATATATATAATATATAAAAAAAAAAAATAATTTAATATATACTAGGGGGGGGGGGGGAGGTAAATTTCCTTGCTATGTGAACGACAGCACTGGCGATGTTTTGTGTACCGGCCACGCTAATGTTTTCCGGGAAAACGTCACCGAGTATCAGAATAGTCTTGTGTCTGAAGTCGGAACTTTGTTGAAGAAAGTCTCGGATTGGGGAGACTTAATCTAGTCCAGCTCAATACCCAGAAGACAGAAATTTGCACGTTTAGCGCTAAAAAGTACCCTTTTATCATATCTCCTCAGTTTCAGGGCTTGTTGCCTCAACCAGTATCCTCGGCGATTTCATTTGATCGCATCCAATGCAGAGCGGTTCGAATTTTCGGCGATCAAGCTCTTTCTGATAAGCTTGAATCACTGGCAATGCGAAGATATGTTGCGTCTATTGTCGTATTTCATCGCATCTACCACGAGGAGTGCTCTAAAATATTGTTCAAACTAATTACGGGCGCTCAATTAGCGACTTAGGGACAATCAAAAAAAGAACCTACACTTTTTGAAAGGCCCGCAAGGGACCTGCGAATCCCTAGTGTTGAAATTTTTCATGGGTGGCGGTCGACACTTATCATCAGGTGAGCCGCATGCTTCTTTGCTCCCTCTTTTATATAAAAAGTGTAACATGTTTAACAACTAGCATATACGAAATGGAATATCCTAGTTTGTCAGAGGCAATAAAACCTTTCTGGCAATCGAAATTTATTTATAAAATATTGGGAACTATAATAATAAAATACTTACGTTCAATTTTAAACACTAAACCAAGAATAATGAAGGCTGTGATAACACCTAAAATCGCTCGATGTGTCGCTGCATATGTCATTCTAATCACAAGCGATAGCCGTCTTTCTGAATAGAATACACTTCCTGTAAAAATGAGTCCCACTATGCCAGGGATCACACACCAGGTGAGATATTGCCAGATCTGTAATATGAAAATAGTTGAATGAAACATAAATATAATGTGAAGTGTTGATATAAGCAACAATATATCACCGCATAATTTACCAAGTGTGCTCCTAATAGGGGCAGGGTTTAATAATTGTTCTGAGGCTACTGCTATGAAATAAAACAATACATATGACAAAAAATTACCTTATGCTTAAAAACCTCAACACGATTCTTCTGCCAATTGTACGCGAAGTAACCAGTGACCATTCCAATTATGAAGCATGAAAGATTATTGTGGCCAAAGACGTGGAGGTACCGGTATGTGTCATTCCAGAAGCTTCGATAAAATCTGTGCAAATTATTGTAAGAAACAAATGAGAGTTATTTATAAAACTAGTTAGTAGGGCTCTTTTGCTGCCTCAAGTTCGTCTGGGTATGTATTCAATCTATTTCTGCCGTTAAATAGCTGTATTTAGCACGGCCGTTTCAACCTAAAGGGTATATGTCAGTATATTTACAGGCTGTAATGCATTTCAACTTAGTACTCAGAAATAACAACATATCTAGATTGTATTCATAATATGTACACTCTGTTTTAGATATTCTATCAACCATTATCTTATAAATCTATAAATCAATCGATTAATCTATAAATAAAATGAAATAAAAATCATCATCTTCATTATTACAGCTCATAACAAGTCCATTGCTGAACAAAAACCTCTCCAAAGAATGTCACATTACTCGGCATTGCACGGGTTGTAAAATCTTCGTGTAAAATCAAAAGTTGATTGACACAATACATCATATGTTTTCCGAGTTTTGAGGTTTTATATGTGACGGGACAGCGACATAATGTAGTTTATAAGAAGCTACAAAAATAATTTTTACTTAATATGATGATGATATTCTTCAGTTATTTTGTTCTGCCCCGACATTAGTTAGAAAGATATAATAAATATAAAGAAGTGAATTCACTGTGGAGAAATTCCCTAAAATCTTAAAGAATGAGATTTTAAAGAATTTCTGTAATTTCTAAAGTCTGCTCAGTGAGAGTTAATAAACAGTACCCGGATGACCTTTTTTCTTAATAATCTGACATTTCAGTATTGGTTAATCGTATTACGATATACGCTTAAGATTAAATCTTAAGCATGTACAATCTGGATTAAATGGACCAAAATAGTATTTTTTTTGTTTCAATCAGATAAAAAATTGCGTGATATTTGCCGAGACCCCCTCTCTCTCCAACGTAAGAGTAGATGAATTTTGACTCGACCCCCTCCCCCCTTAAACATCTCACGTAATTTATGGACGCCCCCTAAGGATCTTTAAGAAAAAAGCCTACTCTTATTTAAAAGGCCCATTTTCAATATATATATATATTAGATATATATAATGTTTTAAAGCGATAGTCGCCATGCTGTTCAGCACTTGACGTCACTGCGCTGTAAATAACACGATATTGCAAAGGAATAAGATATTTTTGTATATGTAATAACGAGTCTTTATTATTGGTGTGTTGAGTCTGAATGCCAAAATACGAGCATATGGACGCAGGGGATGTTATGGATATATATATATATATATATATATATATATATATATATATATATATATATATATATATATGTAGCTTATTTACTGCCATATTTAATGTAACAAAGCACGGTTTAGAGCCACCTGCATCCATCGACTTCATGTATGTCTTACCAGGTCGTCACTCCATTTAGTGGGGGGTCGCTCTAGACTACGCCTACCGGTACGAGGCTGCCACTCGAAAACTTTTTTCCCCATCGGTTATAGGTTATTCGGGCTATATGGCTGGCCCATGTCGGTCACTCTGGTTCTACTACGGATATCCTCATATATAAGTTTATCCCGTAGAGAAACCCCAAGCGTAGCCCTCTCCATAGCTCGCTGAGTGACCTTAAGCGTTTTCGTGGCTAGCAGTGAGTGTAAGTCACCACTGGCAGCACGCACTAGTTGTACAATTATGACACATCTTCTCGTCAGGTATTCCTCAAAACCAGAAAACTTCAGGTTTTGAGGTATACCTGACGAAAAGATGACGAAATTGAAGAGCTTCTGAAGGAATTTAAGTACCGATTTTCCACCCGATTTCAGAAGCTCTACTGTAATTCCACCCTCGCCTGGGGCTTTGCCATTTTTAAAGTGCTGGAGAGCCATTCTAATCTCGATCAGGCTGACGTCCGGAATATCATCGGAACAGTGTCAGATAAGACTTGCTCTTGGATCATTACTCACACTTGCATGTGGCTATAACGATGATGTGTACAGCTGCCCATAGAACCTCTCAATCTCACTCAAAATCTCAGGTGTCCCAGAAACGATGCTGCCTCATTCAGTCTTCAGCTTCGACAATTGACTCTTTCTGGTAGATCTTAGATAAAGACTTGGGATCCCTGATACCACTCGATCGCTTCTACAACACGAGCAGTATTAAAGTGGCGTTAGCCCCGCCGTATGTATTTGGAGATCTGTCTGTTCAGTTGCCTGTATGTTGCTGTTGCTAAGGTGCGCAAGATCTTTCAAAACTTAGCTCCAACCGCATGAACAGTTTCCATGAACTTGCTATTTATATCGTCCACTGCTTTGCAGTCTTCTAGGCACTGACAACGGTTTTGTAACTCGAGCTGTAATGTTTCGGTCCTTTGGATTAGTACACGAAGGGAATGGAGCATTGACTTCGTTAAACGAGACCTCTCTACCATTATGCTGTTATTTTACGCTAGTATTTTGTAAGAGCGTGTTCCTACCCCGGTCGAGCCGACCAATTCGTGTTACAACCACAATATAGTTGTAGCATGTTTTAAATTATATATACATAGATATCAATAACGACTACAAAGTTGTGAAGAAAATCATCTTATTTTGAGCACCACCTATAGTTTTTTTTATAGGATAGGGTGACAAACGAGCACAAAGTCCAACTGATGGTAAGTGTTTGCTGTGGCTCATAGACACTTACATGTATCCTCGATTACGAATCAAAATGCAGATGCGCTGTCACCCTTGAGGACTAAGATGGAATGCCTCATTTCCAGTAAAAAGGGTCTACAGTTCTCTACACTCACCATACGAATCACATCAGCATTAAGCTACTATTTTACGCTAGTATTTTGTGAGAGCGTGATCCTTCCTCGGTCGAGTCAACCCAGTTGTGCTACAACTATACCAATAATATAATTGCAGCGTGGCTCTACCATGTATACATCTAAATACAAACGATTTCTTTTCCCACCCGTCTATTTTGGATGTGTGAAACAATATTTTTTCGCTTCAGGATTCGATTTTGCGAAACACTTTTAGAATTCTATTTTTTTTAGTCATGTGTCCCGCTCCTTCTACCAACTAAACCGCTGTTTTCGAAAATGTGCAATGTTTGCACAATATTATTATTTGTAACAAGATTTTTACCCACGGCTTCGCTCGCGAGGGGTTTAATTTAGCAACATTAATGAATGTAGTTCGGTTTTAAATTTGGCAAAATTCGATCGCTATTAGAGTATTAGAGTCATCGGTGTCTGTGTCTCTCTTTATGTCTGTTTGTCAAAGATTGATATTTTGCATAGATATAATATAAAGACGTGAATATATAAGTTTTTCATAATTGCATTAATATCTTATGTTTATAATCACCTGCTATTTTTTATTTCAGGCGTGTCTTATGATGTATCCACATCGATCACTAATAAAAACGTTCTTTATTAGTGATCGATGTGGATAATTAACTTTCTTATGGATACACATGATAGATGTGTATCCATAAGAAAGTTAATTATCAATTACCAATTGTCTTAAAACAATTTTTTTATTTGAATTTTTACATTTTGAAAAAAATTGCTTTTTATTTTTACGTGGTAGAGCCATGATGCAATTATGTTAGTAGTATAGTTGTACACAAGGGCCCCGGGGAAGGACCACGTTCTCTCAGAATACCAGCGTAAAATAGTAGCTTAATGCTAGTGTGTTTCTTATGGTGAGTGTAGAGAACCGGAGACCCTTTTTACTGGAAAAGAGGCATTCCAATCTTAGTCCTCACGGGTGACAACGCAACTGCATTTTGATTCGTAATCGAGGGTAGATGTAGATGTTTATGGGCCACAGCAACCACTTACCATCAGGTGGACTGTGTGCTCGTTTGTCACCCTGTCCTATAAGAAAAAAACGTTCGAGTAGACTGCAAAATTTCATAAAGGAAGTTCTATAATGGTTTTTTATATTTACGCAAACACTGCAGAAGAAATAAAATAAAATTTACTAATTTTATCGCATTAAATTTTAACTTTCTTAGGTGGGTTTTTATACGCATATATGGATGAAAAATATCGCTGATGTGAAAAGCTCCAGGAAGTCTGAAGTATGTCAACATGTTCAGTATCGTCTCAGCCATTATATCATATCTGATAGACCATAAATCCTCGCAAAAGAACCGCGATTTCTACCAAGGATGATTCTCGAGGCTATTAAAATTAAAAGAACATCCTAATTTCAATAGAGAACATGTCTGGGTAACCATTATATACACAACCATAACCTCGCAAAAGAACCGCGATTTCTACCCAGGATGATTCTCGAGGCTATTAAAATTAAAAGAACATCCTAATTTCAATAGAGAACATTTCTGGGTATTACCACCTGCTTGAGATCCCACAACTACTAAAATTAAATTTAAACTCTACTCTACTACTACAAGACTTTATAGCCTTCATTAACTATAACATCCGAACGTCAAACACCCCAGCCCCCCCTCCCTATGACCATGGGTGCTGTAAAGTATTTTATATATATATATATATATATATATAATTAAAAGTTTAAATTCTTAAACTTTTAATTTTATATAGAACACACTAATGAATGAAAGTAGAAAAATGTTTGCCTTGTGGTCGCGGCGAAAGAGAATCCACCACCTCATGTCGTCATAGCAAATATTTCTGTACTTTTAAAATTTCGGGAATCAAGGAAGTAACACAACATTACTATTTAAAAATGTATTTATTGCTTTTCGAAGTATTCTCCGCGAAATTTGACACATTTTTCCATACGATGGAACCAATAATTGAAGCAACCAATTTATTCGGAAGTTGGGGTCTCCAAAATGGCCGTTTTGTAGAAGTCCACAGCTTCTTCAGGTGATAAAAATCTCTGTCCACGCAATTTATTCTTTATTTTAGGGAAAGTATAGAAATCATTAGGGCTTAGGTCGAGGCTGTATGGCGGATGGTCTAATAATTCTATGTTTTCTTGCTCTAAAAATTCTTTTATTCTGTGTGCGGTGTGAGAACTCACAATGTCGTGATGGAGGATGATGCGGCGGTTGCAGTTCTCTTTACGCGAGTTCAGAAACGACCTGTGGCAAACAAATGCTAGCATACCATTTACCGTTCTTTGGCCCTCAAAAGAAATAGTCGTAACCATTTTTTTGCAACACTCCGGGAACGAACAATTTTTGTTGGCTTTAACTCATTTATGAATACCCAAACTCGTGACTGGTTTTTTGTTTCGGTTTCGTACGCGTATATCCAGGAGTCGTATCGTATCACCTAATACGATGTTGTATACAGCATTTGAGGATCCTGCGTGGAATCTTTCGAGAGTTCTGACGCACCAGGTAACGCGAGCCGCTTTTTGCTCTTCACAGAACGAATGCGGTATCCACCGGGAAAACAACTTTTTTACACCTAATTGTTCATGCAAGATTATTTGTATTTGACTCATGCCAATGTCTAAAGTTGCCTGAATTTCGCAATATGTCACATGTCGATCTTCCTCAATCAGCTTACGCACAGCATCAACGTTTTCTTGGGTGACTGCAGTTTTTGGACGACCTTGACGACCTTGACGGGGATCATCACTGAGCTTGACACGTCCACGTTGAAATTCAGCAAACCAGGGATAAATTGTGGTTTTAGATGGGGCTTCATTACCAAATTCAGAAATAATCCGGTCAACACACTGTTTTTGTGTTAAACCACTTCGAAAGTCATAATAAATCATCGCTCTTGAATTTTCTCGAGTCAATTCCATTTTCTCAACGACTAAACAAGTTTGAAAAAACCTTGTGACAAGACCGAGAATCTTTTTTTTAAATAAATAAATTGTATTCGAATTTTAAAACCAAGCAGTTTTCAATTAAAAAGATTTTAATATGATAGGAACAGTGGAAATATTCCATTCCCGATACTTTTAGTGCAGCCTAGGTATGTCATCTACCACTTTAACATTTTTATGTGTTTTGAAAGTATCAAGATGAAGATTTAGAGTGTTTATAAAATTATCGGCACATTCATATGTTAAAGAGGGGTATATATATGTAGGTATGAGATAGTTACCAGAATAGCAGATGCGTGTGGTAATCTAATTTCTGTAACCCGATGGAGATGGTTATTTTTGAAGTATATACACCATCGTTTTGATTAAGCTGATTTGTAATGTAGTAAGAGGTATAATTACTTCGCGATAGTAATTGTTTATTACAGTTTACTCCACACCGAGTATCAACACATCTTCATCATGTTTTAGTAGCTAAAGATTTACTGTCGGTCATCAAAGTTACTTTATTATATACTTCTAATATTTTATATCGAAACGGTAAAGTAACTACTATCCCGTAGTAGGTAATTGTAAAATTTATCGATGTTAATTACAGCTGAGTTCGCAATTTCAGTGTTATCCAGTTTCCATAAAGAATTTAAATTACTATGCATTATTATTTATTTAAAATGTCATATAGCGTATCTCGTTATTTACGTTCGTGTATATTTGCTGAAAAGTTTTTACATACCGAAATAATATTGTAAATATATGTGTGTTTGTGTAAATGTATATTAAGTACATAATTTATAATATTGTTTATGAAGGTCTTTAATGCTTTGTTCTGTTACAGTATGAAATATTTAAATTTAAATATTATGTTATATAGAAAATTGTGATAAATATTTTGATTAATTTCTCACAGCAGTGGCTACAAGCAGTAAAATAAAAATTTCAGTATTTTGAACACAATAATGTATGAAAGTTAGTGAATATGCCAAAAAATGGTGAAACTGTAGTGAAAAGCAAGTGAGTACTACGTAAAAAGATGAACAGTGATAAAAGTATTTATTTTGATACTGAGCGCGCTTAGTATCCAAGGGATATAATATGCAGAATCAAAATGTGGACTATTCAGTGATTTTATTGAATTGTAGTTAAAAGTGACTCTGAGATTACTTTTAACATTATCTGTTAAACTTAGATTAGACGTCACACATTTCGATGTTACTACAGTATGTTTGAATGGGGACTTTGAGGGAACAATTTACATGCAAACGTCAGGTTTGCCAAGTTCTCAAAATAATCATAATAAAGTACTTGAATTGAATAGAAAAATTTATGGTCTAAAGCAATCATCAACGGCCCGACAAGAAAATTGATGAATGTATTATATGCTATGGCTATAGTTATGAAGACTCCAAATTAGAATTATGATTGTACACTAATATTCATAAGATAAGACAACATTTATAACTTTGTATGTGGAATTTTGATGATTTACATGTGTTTAGAAATACTAATAATGAATGCAAAAATTTGAAATTCAAAGCCCTTAAAATTAAAAATAAAAAATTTAAGAAAGATTAAAAATAGTTTAGAATTGACTGTTAATATTGAAAAAATTAGTGATTCAGTTACATTAAGCTAAGAATATTATGTTAATTAGTTATCAAAAAATAGTCACACTCTCAAGCTTAGAAGCAGAATACAGTATAGCTGAAGCTTGTATGGTAGCTATTTGCATAATTTTTCAAAGGAAATTATAAATGAGTCAAACATAATTACTTTATTCATCGTTAACCAGTTAAGTGTACCCTTAAACTATCTTCAAATAATACTTTTGATAAAAGAAAAAAGCATATTGATCTCTACCTTTTTTGCAAATTATGTCTTGTTGATAATGTAATTAAACTGAAATATTTGGAACAGCTGAAATGCCAGCAAACCTATTAAGAAAATGTTAGCAAGTAGCAAGCATTACTACTTTATGTAGTTGTTAGAAATACATGATGTAAAAGTTTTATAATAATTGTTTTTTTTTTTAGATAAGATGGGGTAAATAAATTGCTGTGTGTATCTATGTTATTTTGACAAGTGGGGGTGTTAATATTATATCAAAAAAGTTTACAAGTACTGCCATCTATTGTGTACCCCATGAGTGAAGTCTAATGTGTAGTGCCATCTGTAGTGTACTTTATTTATATACATTATTTATATACAACCTTCATCCATTACTATGGTAATGTATGAAGGTTGTCAGTAATGAATTTCTTTTATTAACTCTCAATGGTCTGTGGTGTCACAGCAAAACGTGGTTTCATTTTAACCATCGTCCTATTTGGGCCTTTTTTTAGTCATTATAGTGATCAAATCGTAAACTCTTTTAATATGTTTATAGTACTAAAAAGATCCCTTCTAAGCTTATGTATCGTGACAGGTAACTATGGAATCTTTTACTGTGCGTGGCCCGACACGTACTTGGTCGGTTTTTTATCTCTCTAGCCAACAGAATACGTACAAGTGTAAAATAGCAGCTAAATGCTGCAGTGTATGTGCCGGAGACGCTTTTACTGGAAAAGAGCCATTCCATCTTAGTCCTCACGGCTGACAACACATCCGTATTTTGATTCGCAAACAAGTAATGATTTAGATGTCTATGGGCCACAGCAACAAACAACAAAGTTAAACAACAAAAAAGTTAATAAAACAACATACTCAGGTTTTAATAAAACAAGAGCATCGAGATCCTGAAACCAAACATGCAGCGCTGGTGCTGCCATACTAAACAATAGTAGCAGTGATATAACGAAACCTCTTTCTCTTGATTTAGTAGCTATATACACAATTGATCCCAAAACGAAGAGCTGCATGTCAGTGGCTAGGTGCCTGAAATACAATATAATAATTTAAAAACATAGGTAGGTTTGTAAATAAATTAAATAATGGCATAATTTTAGTACAATTTTTTTATTGATACCGTTGTTTGGGTTATGAAACAGAAAATAATCCGTCGAGTCCTTTCAACGGGTACAATATCGCGAATATTGTCAACATTTCCTCAAATAAAAGAAATTAATTTTGTGATGTTTCGGATTGAATGTAAATTTAAGCAAAGTGGAAGCCATGATTAATGTTTATTAAAATTTTATAATTACTAAAATTATCGATAGTTGAGTTTTTGGAGTTATCGCTATGAGTATACGATAACTTTGAGAACTTCATAAACGATTATGTAATACAAATATCAGGAGGGTATGGTTTCGTTGAGATTCAGGAAATAAGAGCATTTTGTTACGCCGGCTGAGCTTAAGAAAGTCCTCTTGTCGCCTACATAATAAAGTCTGAAGACGCAAGTCTTTAGAATAAGCACACTAAATAATTTCATAAACTCGAATATTCTCTTGTTCATATGGTTTCACATAAGTCATAGTATTTGGTAACCAATTGGCGTTTCCGAGATGTTTAAGTCGATTATTTCGTTTAAAAAAAGATTTTTGATGATTTTCTCTCGCAGTCGACTTGGAAACAAATTACGAATGTAAACATCTCGAATAAGCGTCGCGAGTCGATAGGCCGGTTGACAATGCTGAAATTTTTAAACAATCGAAAAAAAAAGAGTGCTTGTTTCAAATAAAGGGTACCTGTGAACAAAAATCGTAAACTGTCCAAAGTTGAAATAAAGGCTATGATTTATTATATTTACGCAAATAATAGAAATAAAAAATATTAAGTTCATTATACAACCAAATCTAGTGACAAGATGAATATTAGTCGTGGGAATAGTATTTCCCAGCCTGACCTCTCAATCATTGCAGCAACTGAGCACTGATTGTTAAAGAAATTTGGTATATCCCAGAAAGAAAACCTGAATTCTATATAAACAGATATCAAATCTATCAATGAAAAACTTATTGATATGAAATAGAATAGAGAATATTATATGGAGTGGAATATGGAAATAGAGAATAATATATAAAGTAATTTTTTTTTGTGGTAGAGCCATGCTGCAGCTATATTAATTGTATAGTTATAGCACGAATGGGTCGGCTCGACCGGGGAAGGACCACACTCTCACAGAATACCAGCGTCAAATAGCAGCTTAATGCTGCTGTGTTTCGTATGGTGAGTGTAGAGAACCGGAGACCCTTTTTACTGGAAAAGAGGCATTGCATCTTAGTCCTCAAGGCTGACAACGCATCTGCATTTTAATTCGTAAACGAAGATAGATGTAGATGTCAATGGGCCACAGCAACCACTTACCATCAGGTGGACTGTGTGCTCGTTTGTCACCCTTTTCCGATAAAAAAATGAAAACTGAAATGAATCTGCTGCTTGTAGAACATAACAACTTCAAGTCTGAAATACAAAAACTAACAAATATTGTCACTTATAACGAAGAAAAAATAAAATGTATTGAAAATAATGTACAGGCTCTTCAGAACACTATAAATGCCCCTTTACCATCAGAATGTCCTACACAGACAGCGAACCATTATGCAAACATAATGACCGAAGTTCGAACCACATTCAAAAAAAATATAGAATAAAGGAGGGAAATTAATAGATGTGATGTGATGAAAGTACTATCAGGCATCTATCCAATTTCTCCCTAACCAGAAAGATTATTGCGCCTGGGCAAGTATGATGGGAAGAACTGCTTTTCACCGTCAGATATAGCAAAAACCTTATTAAAAATAAATCTAACTGAAAAGTAAGCAATATAAAATCTTCTCCGATAAGACACCTAACCAAAAACAAGAAATGGCAAACCTTCGAGAAGAGTTACGTCAGCGCAAAAAAATGACTTAAATATAAAGGGAATACCCAAAATAATAAAATAGGAAACGGGACAAGAGAAAATACAATAACTAAAAATAAGGAATAATTTATAACTCATAAATATCATGATTAATTACGCAGATATAAAAATATCAAGCAAAGCACTAAAATTTCTATACGCCAATATTCTTATATCTTCGTTTTGAGTGTTATAGAACCACTCAAAATGAAGATTCATGTTTTAATTATTTGGGAAACTTGTATAAAAAATGAAAATGAAGCACGGACATTAGCACTACCAAACTATGTTCACTCAAAATATTCTAGAGATGGTGGAGTGTCTTTGTTCATTCACAAGGATTTGAAACATGAATTATTGAAGGATCAATGTGAAGACGGAAAACACTTTTTATGGGTATGTATTGACACTTTTTCTTGGACCTAGGTGCCATATACAAACAGCCAGCAGCAAGTACTGACAAGTTTATTGAAAACTATAAGCAACACCTTGCAAGAAAAAGCGTGTTATTGTGTTCTGCGACTTAAATCTAAACTTACCTACTAACGACAAACACGTAAAAGAATATAAGAAACTACTACGAGAGAATAACATAAAAATATTGAACAAAATCAGCACCGAATATTGCACTCGTGAAACCAAATCGTCAAAAACTATCATAGATCATGTAACTTACAAAGTAATATTTTCCAAAGTCTATTATTGAATCCACCGTAGCTGATCACAAGCAAATATATCTCGAGTTAACAGACATAAAACCGAACGTACAAAAAACAATATAAAGCAATTAACTATAATAACTTGCAGAAGGATGAAGATTTTTGTACTTAGTAATACCATTTCGAGACTTATCGTACTACATTGTGCAAAACATGACGATATATCGATATTTATCACGTGAATATATCGATACTGTTTAAATTAAGCTGAGTTGTGGATGAGGATCTAGTAGCTCAGAGACTAAGCTTTGAGTTACCTGATTGGGTTATTCAGTTTATCCACCTTAAAGAATCCACCCCAGGATGGGTACTCGGAAAGCCATGTTCTGCTATCCACCCTAGACAAGGAATGGGATTATAAAGGAAATAGGAATTCACTTTTATTGTTCGCTGAATTTTTACATTGAGTATAGTTCAACACATACACTTGAATTATTAATTAATTTTTAATAACCACAAATCTTATCAAAAATCTTATCACGTATTGTCGTTACCGTAATCGTTACCGCCTATTGAAGTCTACATATTATTTATTGCATTTAAATCAAATTAAACTTTCTCGTTTTAAATAATATTATTGCCCAATTTATAAATTCTGTAATGTGTCCAGGCAATTACCAACACTCATTTATTATTGAGTAGACGTGATTTGATATCCTGGATAAATTCATTACTATTAAGCAATCGCTTGTTAAATTTTTCGCTACCACAAAGTGTTGTTTTCTTGCTACTGGGTGTTATCTTGCAAGAATCCCAAAAAAAAATTACGATGGGAAGTTTTTATTTAACTTCATTTTCAATTATTTTATGGCAAGATTCCAATGCATCTGTAATCCTGTAAGGTACTCCTTTTATTTCAGAGTTGACCTTTCAAACAAGAAGTACGTATATATTTACTGATATTATATTGACTGCCTCGTTGGTCTAGTGGTTATAGTAGTGAGACTGCTGATCATGAGGTCCTGGGTTCGAATCCCGGGTCGGGCCAAAAAATTAATTATTGAGTTTTTCCGTCAAGAAATTCTCAGTAGTTGCCCGGAGTCTGGAAGTTGGCGGTGTCACACCCCTTGCCTCGGAAAGCACGTAAAGCCGTTGGTCCTGCGCCTGATCGCTCTCCGGTCGTGTCGGTTTACCGTCCCATCGGATTATGAGAGTGAGGGAATAAGGATCTCCTAGGTGTGCGTTATTTGTAGTTAGCAGTGGCTGCAAATAACCGCCGGTACGACATACTCCGCCGATCGTTGAGTCCCGTGATTCCGTGAGGCGTCGAGGTCACCGGCCCCTAGGTGATTCTTGGCACTTTATGCGTTCCGTGCATTTTGTGCCCAGTCGCGTACTAAAGTGCCACCATCGCACTTCCCCCAACCCTTTTGTTTGCAAAAGGGGTAGGCAGTGCCCCAAGTGAGGATAGCCAACTATTATCATCACCACCACCCGCGTCGCGCATTACCATCCACTGGCGATCGGCTGGAATTTAGATAGGGCCTAAAGTTGATTACCACTGACTGTTCTGATAGGTTAGGGATATGTCAGATAAGTTCGCGCCCATCGTACCTGAGTGTACGACTGGGCGTGAACCGCTGCCCTCCCAACAACAGCGGCCTACGAAGACGCCACGAAGGCACACGCCACCCGAGACCGAAGCCTCCCTCTATGAGAAGAGGCAGCGCATCGGTGACTCATCTGAACCATCATCAGCATCATCGGATGATGAGGAGCCCCAAGCAACGACCAGGAAGAAGGTTCATACCTCACCTCCTAAGTCGCCATCACCGCCACAACAGCCACCATCCATGTCACCGGACCGAAGAAGCCATGACTTGGCCCAGTATGAACAAGGAGGTGAGGAGTCCTACAGTTGGGGCTCATCAACATACGCAACCCTAGCTGCATCCGCCGGTCGATCATCGCCGGTGGAAACAGCCACCCCGTCCGGGCTTCCGCAGGATGATGGCCAATGGCCATCTACCAGCTATGCCCATATGGTAGCTGCACCAGCAGTACCACGACCACAACCGGCGGCAGTGCCTACTGATAAGCCTACCGACCAGGAAAAAGCTAGATATCCACCCATAGTGGCTGAATGTCTACCGAATTGGACGAGGCATTTTAAGGAGGTCAACAGAATGTTGGGCCACCCTTTAAATGCCCGTCCATTCGGGAAAGGCGTACGGTTCACACCTCAGAGCGCCAACGAATTCAGAACTGTTCAGCGATATATGGTTAAACTTTCAAAGGAAATACCAACACTGTCGTGGTATTGTTACACCCCGGAGGAGGACAAGCCCACCAAAGTGGGCATCTGGGGTCTACCAATGGGCAAGGACACCAAAACAATAGAGGAGGCTATTAGGGCAAAAGGCTTCCCC